TCTAAGAAACTAATTATAAGTATTGACAAATTTCACCAAAGATAAATATTTTGCATATCAGGAGACATTTAGTAGTTTTAAATATTATTTATATTTTAAATTACAACTCTTATACAGTGTATTCATTTTTATTATTGAGTTTTTTACATACTGGATTAATTAAAATTACTCTTATAAACTGATACTATATATAACGACGACTTTTCTACGCAGGTAAATATATGTTATTATGTTTTATACTTTTATATAAGGGGCGCATAGCTCCGAAACAGCGTAAATATGCCTCGGAGAAAGTAAGTAATAAAAAGAATTAATGACAGAATCTCAGTGTCATCGTGTCAGCTTCCTGGTCCATGACAGCTGATGCCTGAATTCAAAGAGTGGAACTCTATTGGATTCCACTTAAAGCTTCATTGCGTAGGCTTTCTCTACTGCAAAACTATTTATCAGGTTCTGAAACAATGGGAACAAAGCGAAAAAGGCAGAGGAGAGGCGAAAGTAGAAATTTCAGTCCCTAATTCCATGCAAGCTGCTTTTGAATAAAAGACGCCTGTTGCTGAATGTTGATCTTACTTCTCGTAAGTGTAGCCTTTGTAGCATATCGTGGCAGACTCGTATTCGTCTCTTCGGCTATAACGTCATTACATTTTCTTTTGAGAAACCAAAACTTGTTGGTAATGTCTGAAATAGCCAATCACTAAAATGATAAATTCAAATCTCGTTCTCCTTTTTATCAACTGATGAAGAACGGTGATGTTACTTTAAGTAAGAAGAGGCTTACAGAATGGATATTTATTTTCTTGTATTGTTGGATGCCTACCGTAACGAATTGGCCAACAAGATAGTCTCTTGGTACGTTAACGTGGGTAGTTTATAGGAATAATATTATTATTATAAATATATAATATATTTATATAAAATAAAATAATAATAATAATAATAATAATAATAATAATAATGAAAATTATAAATAAAATAATATAAAAGAATAACATAAAAACGTTGTATAAAATAAATCCAATAAATGTTTAAAATAATAAAAATACCACAAAAACTGTTCCTGCCGGAAATACGGACATCCCCACCAAAAGACGTTAAATTCAATCGTTTCATCACAAAACTTTAGTCAATAAATAGACATAGGTTCAGTTAACACTAGAATAAAATGATATAAATTGTTTCACTTTACACTCGAGTTAAAAGAGACATAAGTCTGGTTTATACTTAAACATTATGCTTAGATATAGGTTTACACTAAAATAAAAAAAGGCAGACATAGGTGATTTTTACAGTAGAGTCAAAAGGTAGATAATACCTGGTTTATACATGAATCACGAAAATAGTAGACATAATTCTGGTTTACACCTGAGTCAAAAGGTAGATATAGACACGCTTTACACTATAATAAAAGTACATAGATTTGCTTTACTTTTTAATAAATTTAAATATACCCGCTTTACACTATAATATGATATCTACATAGATTCGCTCTACGCTAAAATATTTCTACATAAACCTACTTTACACTATAATAAATTTACATAGATCCAATTTATATTATAAAGACTTTATATAGACCCGCTTTACACTATAATAAATTTGCATAGATCCAATTTATACTATAATGAATCTACATAGACCCGCTTTACAATATAATAAATTTACATAGATCCGTTTTATACTATAATATATCTATATAGATCCACATAATAAATCTACATAGACCCGTTTACTCTATAATAAATTTATATAGATCCGCATTACACTATAATAAATCTGCATAGACCCGATTTGCACTATAATAACTTTACAAAGATCGGTTTACGCTATAATAACTTTACATAGATCCACTTTAGACTATAATAAATTTACATAGACTCACTTTGCAGTATAATAAGTTACATAGATCCGTTTTACGCAATAAATTTACATAGATCCGCTTTACACTATAATGAATTTACATAGATCCGCTTTACACTATAATAAATCTACATAGACCCGCTTTACGCTATAATAAACTTACATAAATCCGATTTACACAATAATAAATCTACATTAATCCGATTTACACCATAATACATCTACATTAATCCGATTTGCACTATAATAAATCTCCATAGACCCGCTTTACATTATAATAAATCTACGTATTCTTGCTTTACATTATAATAAATATGCTAAATATAAGTATAATTTGCACAACGGTTAAGATATAATTATTTTAGAAAAAATGAAATATAATTATTTTAGTCGTGGAACACAAATTTATAATCTTTTTGTCTTCGATTGAGATCTGAAAAGTGAGGAATTATACGTGCTTAGTGTTTTATATAATTTTCTTAATCAATTTATTCGTCATATACAGGATGTGTCCTCCCAACAATTTGACATCATTTACAATGTACAATATCTGAGTCACTACATGTCCCTGGCAAACGAAATTAAATAGGCTTCATGTTGTACAATAAAAAGATTTATCAAAATGCGAACAAGATATTCAAAGGGAAGTAGATTTTATAACTGATTTCACAAAGCTTCCCAAATGTTTAATATACTCCCGACCTGTGACACGACACACGTCAAGTCCGTAGTACACGTTGTAGCATGTCTTGAGTAACATTCTCCAATACCTTAGTGATTCTCTGTTTAAGTTCCACTAGTCTTGTAGGAAGAAGGGGATATAGACCTGTCCTTTCACATAGGCCCTTAGAAAAAAATCGTAAGGTGTCACGTCAAGTGAACTTCATGTCTATTTCAAAAGCACATTGTCATTATAACTGACACGTCGATCTATCATCCTTGTAGCTTCTCTTTGAAATATGTCCACACAGACAACTTAGTTTTTATAGATTTTGTTAAATTTTGAAATAATTTGAGCGAGAATTGGCTGTGTTATTAGACGACACTAATGATGTCAATTTGTTTTCAATATCAACATAAAAATAAATGTCTAGTTTTAAATAATAAATATATAAATAATATAAAATAAATATATATACGTAAATATATATAATAAATATATAAATATTAAATATAAATTATATATAAATTGCAATATATAAATGTTACAGATATATATATATATATATATATATATATATATATATATATATGATTATGAAGAAATATAGTTTTAAGGTGTGCTATCTTGATGGAATAACGTGCTTAATATCAGGGATAGAGCTTATGTAAATATAAAAGCGAACATTGAAGTCAACACTCAGAGGCGACAGTCTGTTTCATGCTAGACGCTATCTTCAGGCCATATATATATATATATATATATATATATATATATGTGTGTGTGTGTGTGTGTGTGTGTGTGTATAACGATAATATTTTTGACTATTTACCCATTAACAGTGGGATTTTCAAAATGTGTATTTTTCTGTCAGGCTCTCTCTAAGTCTGTAATACTTTTTCACACTTTACAGAACGAATATATCATACACACCACCCACACATATACATACATACATTTTGTTATTGAATCTAGCAAGACAGAACACTTAACTATATATATATATATATATATATATATATATATATATATTTATATGGAGAAATATAGTTTTAAGGTGTTCTATATTTATGGGATAAAGTGCTCAATATCAGGGATAGAGCGTATGTAAATATAAAAGTGAACATTGAAGTCAACTCTCAGAGGCGACAGGCTGTTTCATGCTTGAAAGAAATATGTGTGTGTGTGTGCTTAAATAATAAATCATTAGTACTTTTTCTGCTAAACTGACGTTTCTTGGGATGAACGAAAGAACAACATTGTGTGACCTTCGTATAAAAGCCTTTATTTTACTGCTGTAATTTTTTTCTTTACAATTTAGTTGAATATAATGCAAATCCTAATCCTATTTTCATAATGGATTGAAAGTAGAAGATTCATATATTTTTAGGTATGTCATATGTCTTTTCCGTGTCGACAACGTGTTTACAATAGGATATAGAATGTAGACAAATTTTGAAGAATATGGCAAATGGAAAAACTATTCATTGAAACTAAATGACGCGATTCGCCCTTTCTCGGCTTCATCAGATCAAAATGAAAGAAATATGTGTAGAGCAAAGAAAGCTAATAACTATCAGACGTCTGATTTATAAGATATTATGTGTTAAAAAGTTTTGGAAACTGACATATTCTCTTATGATTGTCTTTTGGGTGTCGACGTACATAGAAGGAAGTGACTGGTGTATGAGATCGAAACAAAAATGAAAAAAAAAAAAAAAGAAAAAAAAAGAAAGTGAACGTGTCGGAGACAGAAACTAAATAAAGTCTAAATTCGTTGACGCCAATAAATAAATGAGCGTGGAATGTCAGACACCAGCAAGAAATAAAAATACTAAATGAAACAATGAATCCTTCGCAGATGTCACGGTGTTTCCAAAAGAAATATCTTATACAAGTTAAATTGGCGGGAGTGCAAAGCAGAAGGCAATAAAACATTTTAGTATTCGAAAGCTTACAATAAAGTTTTCATGTGATTTAAAAATAATTTACATTGGCTGAGAAACTCTTGTTATTAAAGCAAGATTTTGTTTTATTCATTATAGAATTGTCAAATTTTGGTCATGTGGATTTTGTTTTTTCTCTAATTCTTCTCAGAAACAAACCTTTTTAGATTTTTCATTTCTATATTTCTTTCCTTCTTTTTACAGTGGTTTACTAAGGTTTGACTTTTCTTATATTTCGACTTATTTAATGACTATTTCTTTATCGTTTATTCAAATTCATTTTTTGAATTCTTTAAAACTAATGTAATCCATTTAATTTTCGATTTCTTTCCGTCTTCATTTAGGCTTCTACTTGCATTTTTTCATATCTTAATTTTTCTTATAATTTACACATTAATCATTCCTTTTCTACTCTCTGTTTTATTGGTTTTCTATATTTTTCTGTCCTATTTTTATAATTTTCTTTCATTCTGTCTACCTCTACTTTCTATTTCTGTTTACTACTTTTTAGCACTATGTCTTTTATGTCTGAGATTTCTTTCTTTCTTTCTTTTTTTTTCTTCTTTTTCTTTCTTTCTGTTGATGTCTTTTCATTCATTCATTTTCATTCTTACTTCTTTCTTTCTTTCTTTTTCTTTATTTCTTTCTTTCTTTCTTTTCTTTCTTTTGATGTCTCCTTCATGTCATTCATTCATTTTTCATTCTTATTGTATCTTTCTCTTTCTTTCTTTCTTTCTTTTCTTTTCTTTCTTTCTTTTTTCTTTCTTTCTTTTCTTTCTATTGATGTCTACTTCATGTCATTCATTCATTTTTCATTCTTATTGTATCTTTCTTTCTTTCTTTCTTTCTTTCTTTCTTTCTTTCTTTCTTTCTTTCTTTGCCGTTCTTTCTTTCTTTTTTTCTTTCTTTCTTTCTTTCTTTCTTTCTTTCTTTCTTTCTATTGATGTCTCCTTCATGTCATTCATTCATTTTTCATTCTTATTGTATCTTTCTTTCTTTCTTTCTTTCTTTCTTTCTTTCTTTCTTTCTTTCTTTCTATTGATGTCTCCTTCATGTCATTCATTCATTTTTCATTCTTATTGTATCTTTTCTTTCTTTTCTTTCTTTCTTTCTTTCTTTTCTTTTTTGCCGTTGATGTTTTTCTTCTGTCATTCATTCATTTTTCATTCATTCATTGTATTTTTTCTTTCTTATCTTTTCTTTCTTTCTTTCTTTCTTTCTTTCTTTTCTTTTCTTTCTTTTCTTTTTCTTTTCTTTCTTTCTATTGATGTCTACTTCATGTCATTCATTCATTTTTCATTCTTATTGTATCTTTTCTTTCTTTCTTTCTTTCTTTCTTTCTTTCTTTCTTTGCCGTTCTTTCTTTCTTTCTTTCTATTGATGTCTACTTCATGTCATTCATTCATTTTTCATTCTTATTGTATCTTTCTTTCTTTCTTTCTTTCTTTCGTTCTTTCTTTCTTTCTTTCTTTCTTTCTTTCTTTCTTTCTTTCTTTCTTTGCCGTTCTTTTATTTTTCTTCTTGATGTCTTCTTCATGTCATTCATTCATTTTTCATTCTTATTGTATCTTTCTTTCTTTCTTTCTTTCTTTCTTTCTTTCTTTCTTTCTTTCTTTGCCATCTTTTATTTTCTTCTCTCTTTCTATTGATGTCTCCTTCATGTCATTCATTCATTTTTCATTCTTATTGTATCTTTCTTTCTTTCTTTCTTTCTTTCTTTCGTTCTTTCTTTCTTTCTTTCTTTCTTTCTTCTTTTATTTTTATTTTTCTTCTCTTTTCTATTGATGTCTACTTCATGTCATTCATTCATTTTTCATTCTTATTGTTTTTTCTTTCTTTCTTTCTTTCTTTCTTTCTTTCTTTTCTTTTTTCTTTCTTTCTTTCTTTCTTTCTTTGATGTCTCCTTCATTCATTCATTCATTTTTCATTCTTTTGTTTCTTTTCTTTCTTTCTTTCTTTCTTTCTTTCTTTCTTTCTTTCTTTCTTTCTTTCTTTCTTTTTACCATCTTTTATTTTTCTCTCTTTTCTATTGATGTCTACTTCATGTCATTCATTCATTTTTCATTCTTATTGTATCTTTTCTTTCTTTCTTTCTTTCTTTTTTCTTTCTTTTCTTTTTTCTTTCTTTTTTTCTTTTCTTTCTTTCTTTTTTCTTTCTTTTCTTTCTTTCTATTGATGTCTCCTTCATGTCATTCATTCATTTTTTCATTCTTATTGTATCTTTCTTTTTTCTTTCTTTCTTTTCTTTCTTTCTTTCTTTCTTTCTTTCTTTCTTTCTTTTTTTTTCTTCTCTCTTTCTTGATGTCTACTTCATGTCATTCATTCATTTTTCATTCTTATTGTATCTTTCTTTCTTTCTTTTCTTTCTTTTTTTCTTTCTTTCTTTCTTTCTTTTCTTTCTTTGCCATCTTTTTCTTTCTTTCTTTCTTTCTATTGATGTCTCCTTCCTTTCTTCATGTTTTTTTTTCATTCATTTTTTCTTTCTTTCGTTCTCTTTCTTTCTTTCTTTCATTTTTATTTTCTTCTCTCTTTCTATTGATGTCTTATCATTCATTCTTTCTTTTCTTTCTTTCTTTCTTTCTTTCTTTCTTTCTTTCTTTCTTTGTCTCCTTTATTATAGCATCTATTAGGATCACAACTTTAGGCCAGGAATTAACCCCAAACAGAGGCCAAAACACTATAAAATTATAAAAATAGGCTTTAATATCAACAATACATTTTTAAAGAAAAAATATTTACAACAATACTTTTTTGAAAAAAAATAAAAATATTACCAGCAATAAATTTTTTAAAAAATATTACCAGAAATAAAAATTATATCGGCATTAAATAATCCATTGAGGTTGATATACCGTAAAACAAATCAAACCAAACCAAACTATTAATTTTTAACTTTTTATTTTATTTTTCTTCTTGGGTTCTTCATCCATTTTTATCCTTTTTAATTTTTTAATTTTTCTTTCAATCATCCATTATTTCTGTTGAAGCTTGGATAAGCATGGAATAATAATAATACAACACAAAATGTACGTAAACAAAATGTATTGAAACAAGGAAAAGGTAAACAATATTTACAGAGAGTTTTGGTATATTCTTGGGAAGACTGTTCCTGTAGAACGGGTTGACATTAGTCGCAGTCGGGCAGAGTCTCTGGATTGGATCTCTTCTTCCTCACCCCCGTCTTCCCAGTACCAACCCATATTTATATGGTCGGTACTCCACTATGTAAATTAGGTGGATCGTACCACAACAATTTCCTTCTTTATTCTCTTCTTTCTTCCTTGCATGTCGACTTTATCCTTCATTCATTGTTTATTTTCATTTAGTGTTTGTTTTTTCCTTTAATAATTATTACATTTCTCTTTTTTCTTTTATTTCTCTTCTTGGCTTTCCCATTTTTCATTTTTTTTACTTTCGTTCCTTCATTCATTCTTTACTGTTTTACTTTTCTGGCTTTTATTTATGGTTTATTTTTATATTCTTTACGATTTTTCTTTCATTCATTTTTACTTTCTTTTCTTTAATGTTCTTTTTTTTTATTTATTTACTTCGGCTGTCTCCTTTTTCTTTCCTGTTTCTTCTTTCTTTCTTTCTTTCTTTGTTTTATTCACTTTTCTTTTTTTCTTGTTTTGATTTTACTTTCTACAACTTTTCTTTTTATTTCCTTCCTCTTGTTTCTGTTCTTGAATTTTTGTTATTTTTTTCTTCTTTTTCTTTAAATTTTCTTCTCTCTTTCCTTGTTTTGTGTCTTTCGATGTTACATTTTTATTTTCTTGATATTTCTTGATATTTCTTATTTTATTTTCTTTCCAGCTTTAATCTTTTTCTCTTTCCTTTCCTTTAATAATTACATAATTTTTTTCTTTCTATTCTTTATCGGATAAGTTCTTTCATTTTCTCTTTTCATTTGCTCACGTTAATTCAATTCTTTATATTTTTCCTTCGATTTTGCACTTAATCCTTCCCAGTAAAAATTCCTTCTTCATCGCTGCATTCAACTTGTAAAATTCTTAATCTCGACTCATTCTTTCTTTTCATTTAAATTTTTCCCGTATGAATATTTTTCATTTCCTCCCTTATTTCAAATCGCCATTTTATTTCTTTTTAAAGTTTTATAATCACGAAGTCACTATTTTTTCGTTTACTTCTAACTTCTTTGCTTTATTTGCCAGTCTTTTCTTTTCCCATTTTCCGTATCTTTCCACAGGATCTTCTGTTTCTTTCTTTCAATGTAAGCCATACTTGTCACATACACTGGTCATAACAATGAAACAATGTACTTGGTTCTTTGCGTCCGATAACAATGGCGGCCGTTATTACCGACGTTTGTAAGCCAGCTGTAGTTTTCAAACAAAGTGAAACGTGCAGTGGAAATTTTGTTCACAAAATCAAATTAGATTAAAAGAATTTGAAAAGAAAGTACAAACTGAAACAAAATGTAGAAAAAAGGATGAGGAATAACAGAATTGAAAACGAATTTGTTTTATTAATTAAGCTGGAACTCCACAATGAATGGAATAACAGAAATATAATTGAATCGACAAATCAGACAAAATAGGAATCTTTCAAGACAAAAGAATTATATACATAGATACATACATACATAAATGCAAACACACGCACATGCACACACACATATTGAGTTGGTGCATAATTATCAGGCGTTTTGTAGGCGAGTTATTTGTTAAAAATTGCTGTTTTCTTTACTTTTTTTTTTTACTAAAAATATTTTATTTTCAGGTTATAAAAATGCGTGTCGATAATCATACGCCCCAGAATACGCATTTAAAAATGTTCTTGTTGAATTGTTATGTTTCTTTTTCATAATAAATATTGTTTAAAAACGCCTGATAATTATGCACCAACCCAATATATATATATATATATATATATATATATATATATATATATATATATATATATATATATATTTTTTAAAAAAAAACAGACCTTTTAAAAGGACTCTAATGAAATAAATTATTGTAATGGTACCTTAAAGTGGTCTGTTTTTCTTTTAAATATTATCTCTGGATTTACATTGAGCTCTCAGGATTTCATCCTCCTTCGGATTACCCATACGGATTACCAAGTTCTTCATAACTTAACTATAGATATTTAGATATATATATATATATATATATATATATATATATATATATATATATAACTAACTTAAAAGCACCCCTATCCTGCGGAGGGATCTTGGTTAGGCCTTCGGCTTGTTGAGGAGTTTGAGAGTCCATAAATCTTTGCATATTCTCAGCATTAGAAGCTCTTCAGTCTGCCGTTTGATCTGGTCTCACATCTGCACGGAACTTTCTTTTCCTCGCTGTAGTCTTGGCTCTTTTGTTGGCGATCTGGTCCTCTGTTTATGAAAATTTCTTTTTGCGAGGCATATCACTGCTGTATTCGATAGGCCAGAATAAACTACAGAAGAACTCGAAATTGATCGCGGCATTTAAGCATTGCATTAATATTTAAGCGTACCTTTTAAAAGTTCAACTATAATTCTTCTGTCGCCACTTAATGTAAAGACAATTTGATGTGCGTAGGTCCTTACTTTCCATACAAGCAATTATTTTTATTTCATCGGTGACTTTCGCTGGATTTCGTAAATAATTTCCCTTATTCCTAAATTTATTTCCAATTTGTACAAATTGTTATCGTACAAAACAAAAGTCATTGCAAAAAATCACCCAAAACAATCGGTTATCTCCCTTTAACTTAACTCTTCGTGGTTTTGTTCACCCCTGCGCTTGCCAGATATTGTACTCACAACTCTTTGGGTCGAATCCCTGTATTCAACTAACGCTTTTATCCACTGGGCCATGTGTCCTCGAATTAAAGGGAGATAACTGTTAATGTGATATCCAGAAGGTGCATGGCACGGAGAACTAGAACAATTTACCCCGTTGGACGGAATAATGGGTTCAATTCGAAATTCCAATCACTTGAAGAAGGCCAGAGCATACAACGACCGAAAGGTCCTGACAATAAAAATAACGAAAAATTATGTGATTGTAGAAACCCTAGAAACTGCCCGTTAGAAAATAAATGCCTCACAAAATCTGTGGTATACCAGTGCACTATCTCATCCATTGAGAGTCCTAACACTGATAGGACATACATAGGCTCAACAAAGAATAATTTTAAAATTAGATGGAGGCAACACAATAGCTTCTTCAACAATATTCAAAATAGAAATCAGACATCTCTATCCCAATATTTCTGGCATCTAAAAGAAACGAAAAAAACACCAAAAGTAAAATGGAAAATAATAAATAAAACAAGAACCTGTAAAACCTGGGATGACCCATGCCCTTTATGCTTACAGGAAAAACTACACATCATTAAATTTCTAAATAATGAAAAATTATTAAACCATAGGCAGGAGTTAACGGTTTTTTGCAGACATCAACAAACTTTCGCATTAAATAATTAGCATATATAAAAAAAAAAAAAAATCCCACAGCTAAGTAAAATTCTTAAAAGCAATGCCAAATCATTAAATAGGAAAAAACCCTTTTTGTAGTCGTCAAAAAACAAAAAAGCAAATTGAAATTCAGTGCAATGCGATCTGTATATAAAACACCCACTTGAATAAACAAATAAATAAATAGATAATCAGATGGACAATAATAAAAGACAATTCCCCAGACACATAACGATTGTAGGCGCGCCATAAAAAATATCCCTCACTGGGAACTAACTAAAGGGTGACCGCAAACATTAGCCTTGAAATAGATACCCTACACAACCTTACCAAAACCTCTTAGAAGATGATG